GCACTGCGTGAGGCACAATCTCTTAGCTCCACCTACCTTTAGGCTATTTGTGAGGACCAATGTTTGCATCATAGCCTGCACCCATACCACAGTACGTACCTCATGGATCGTACCCTTCACATGCGAGGCCTCATGGGGTTGTTATACGATGATCGACACCTTATCATCCCTGCATAGCCAGTCAAATACATAATAATGTCGACACAACACCAGCTTTGATTGTAGTTGTGTAGACATTGGAATCGGGTTTACCATCGCACACATCAGGCCCTTCTGTACCTCGTGAGTCATAATCTGTTATCCAATCTCAGCATATACCATCCCCGAGTGTACCTTGTCAGACACCATCCACTAGGAGTTCGCCGCATACACCAGCTATAGGTGATCCCTATTAGACACATGGTTCTCCCAGCCAACCTATATTGGAGGATGAGGATGCTCACCTGACATCGCTTATACATAACGTAGAGATGTCACTACCAACAAAAGATGCACACCCGACCTTGACTACATAAGATGTAGGGACGTCACTACCAAAAGGGGATGTACGCTCGACCTCAACTACATATGATGTATAGATGTCACTATCATCAGAGGATGCATGCTTGTCATCGCCTTCGCATGATATAGAGTTGTCACGACCAGTAAAGGATGCACACATGAGCGTGATTCAAATGTTGATACGACTCCACTTGCCCAACTTATTTCCCATTTTCGAGGTCGAGATGGTAGAGCTTGAGGTTGTAGAGGTCGAGGAGGTTGAGGCATAGTTCGAGGTAGGACTACAGAGTTTGGTGTCGAAGAGGATGTGTCACAAGTCATTCAAGAGGAGGAGGAGGAGTTAGAGGCCNTCGAGGTCGAGATGGTAGAGCTTGAGGTTGTAGAGGTCGAGGAGGTTGAGGCATAGTCCGAGGTAGGACTACAGAGTTTGGTGTCAAAGAGGATGTGTCACAAGTCATTCAAGAGGAGGAGGAGGAGTTAGAGGCCTGTCGTTTGCAATGGCTGCAGAAGAAGCCCACTTGCGGCATATAGTTTTTTGTCTTTTCAGTTTATGAACATGTTCATTTGTATGTAATAAAGTAGTTTTATCATTTTCTAGGTAACTACAGTAGTACGTATGCATATTGATTGTATTAGTGGTGGTGGTGTGGAGGTTTTGTCTATGCTTTTGGTTGTGGTGTGAGTTTGTTTGGGTTTGGGTATGGGTGTGGTCTTATAGTTGTTTTTATGGTTCCAATATGGATGTAGTTGTGGTAGTATATGATATGGTAGTGGTAATATTGTATATGTAGGTTAAAATAATGGTGGGGTTCAATTTTAAGGGGAAATTCTGCTCAAATTTTTTTAAATATACATTATTTATAGTGTGTATACCTCCATTTCATACTACNGTGAGTTTGTTTGGGTTTGGGTATGGGTGTGGTCTTATAGTTGTTTTTATGGTTCCGATATGGATGTAGTTGTGGTAGTATATGATATGGTAGTGGTAATATTGTATATGTAGGTTAAAATAATTGTGGGGTTCAATTTTAAGGGGAAATTCTGCCCAAATTTTTTTAAATATACATTATTTATAGTGTGTATACCTCCATTTCATACTACATTCTTTCCAAATTAGTCTACTATATTTTTTTGATTGTTATGTTGTCCAAGCAAGAAACTCCACTTATGTTAACATATAACAATACACAATACATGTAATTTAAATTGAAAATGAAAGTAATATTACTATAAACATAAAAAACCACCAACTATGAGCATAAACACACACGTTACAACATTTGAAAATGCAAATACAAATTGACTACCACAGCTATAGACACACAATACTACAAACATAAAAACCCACAGACTACGACTATAAACCCATAATTCCAACTTTTGAAAATGAAAGTATAGATAGATTAATATAGTTATAGATTCACAAACCCATAACCTACAACATAATTATAAGTTACATCATGGGGAACCTTCTTCATTTGACATTTCAACATCAAAACGCATATTGCTTCCCCCACTCAGTTGGAAGCATAAACGTCCTTCGTCCGGCAAACCTTCTTTAGCACGGTCGTGTGCAATGCAACGAAGGTTGTATCAATTTGAACGTATTGTCATACGATTGTTTTTAACTCTAATACTAAACAATACACGTTCCAATTGTTGAGGAGTGTCAATAGGCATATTAAATGCAATTTGGCAAGGCCTGCATATATTGCAAATGCCCAAATCTTCACTTAGAACTTCCCTTTGATTCAAGCGATATTGTCTTTGCTCTATCATTCTATTTTTGAACCTCTATGAGTAACGTAAACGTGGATTTAGAGGATAGAATAACTCATCCTCTAAAGCCCAATGATAACCCATACTTTCAAACAAGGAGCGTGGACTATAATTCATTGTTGAAATTGGTAAGTATACAATGAGGGCGTTTACACATGATGAATTTATAATGAAATTGTTATGCAATAATGCTCACGGTTTGGCTAGCTTATTGTACAAGTCATGAGATGAGTTATTGTATACATCAATTCAGTTTCTAGAACTTGGAGTTATTGCCCTTAGAAGAACACTAAAAAGATGATTGTGCGACAATAAATGGTGAATGGATTAAACACTGAACCCTGCAGCCAATCTTATACACACTGAACAATGATGAGTACTGAATTGAAAGTTGACAACACACTATGTGACTAGTGTCTATTGAATTGACTACACACTGTGTAGAAAATTATTTCCCTTCTCAGTCATACTAAACCGTGTCACAGCAATGAAAACACACTCTCAATGTGTGAGTACTGCCTATTGAACATACTCTCAATGTGTGAGTACTCCCACTAGGGTTGTCTGTGTTTAGTCATAGCATTATTTTTTCTATGTTATATAAATTTTTTTCAATGTTATCAATGTCATATTTTGACATTGTCAGTCTTTAATCATATCCTAATGTGTGATTACTGTCTATTGAACAAACTAAACATGTGAGTCTTTAATCATATTCTATTGTGTCCATATTGCCTATTGAATTGACTACACTTGTCAGTTTCAGTGTTTAGTCATCTTGTGTTTTTAGTGTATTAAGTGACTATCCATCTCAGTGTTTCCAGCGATTATTGAGCATTATTGATCAATTATGTGCCTATTCATTACTTTTGGGTAAATATATATGCATTTTTCCTACAGTGAAATGACTAGAAGGTCATCATCAAGGTCTTCAGGCTGAATGACCAATGGTTTCTCCTTGAGCAATGATTGCCAACATCATGCTACATACTAGGATCTAAGGACTTCGTCATTCAGTATACTAGAACCTGGTAATTACACAGATTCCAGTGGTGTAACGTGGTATAAAAACTTGTGTGACTTTCATAATGAGCTAATCAACATTCATAACTCTTTCACAAAAGTCAGCCATGTGATTATTGAACCTGCAACAATTGTTCCGCCTCTAGAGTTCTATTACCACCTATGAGGACCAAGGTGGAAGTATACTATTGTTGGCATGGATTACGAGCACAACAGGCACATTCAGCTGAAATGTACATGGAATGGTGCACAGACAACTATAATGATATCATAGCAAAACTAGAACGTGAAATTGATCAAATATAACGACGTCTAGATCGATTCCACTTTATCAATAAGGCAAAGATAGAGCATTTAGATCCTAACGAGGCTATTAATGCAATATTTTTCGATCCATTACTAGTTTCTGACCATGAATTATCTGATTTTGATGATTCACCTGATGATGAGTATGAAAAATTTCTCCCTACTAGTCTATGCGCACGTGGCAAACCACTATGTTATTTAGAATATGGTTCTCATTAAAAAAAATATATATTGTTGTATTTGTGTTGCATTTTGTATGAACATGATCATTTATATTCCTATTTCAGATAAATATATTAACTATTTTGTTATTTACATAATAAATTAAGCTGATTGTGAAGTTTTTTGTCAAATAAATTTACCACTCACTTTTTGAACAGTTGCCAAAAAAAACGTACCCCTCATTTTGTGTCATCCATAAAAATGTAGATATATTATTATTTTTGTGTAATCTTTTTAAAAAACACCAAAGGACATCGGACTATAGAAATAGTAAAATTGAAAAATAGAAATAGTAAAATTGAAAAATATTGTTGCTGCCAAAAAACAAGTTAGTTGAATCCGTCTTATTAAAAGGGGACTTGTCAAATACGCTTTTAATGTANTTCTGCCAAAAAACAAGTTAATTGAATCCGTCTTATTAAAAGGGGACTTGTCAAATACGCTTTTAATGTAAAAATGGATTCAATAAATCTATTTTTCCTGGTCAACACAAATTTGTTATGCAGACTCATTTTTCTGAAAACATGGATGAAGATGTCGCTTTTAATTTAAAAGCAAATTCAATAATTACGCTTNTGCTGCCAAAAAACAAGTTAGTTGAATCCGTCTTATTAAAAGGGGACTTGTCAAATACGCTTTTAATGTAAAAACGGATTCAATAAATCTATTTTTCCTGGTCAACACAAATTTGTTATGCAGACTCATTTTTCTAAAAACATGGATGAAGATGTCGCTTTTAATTTAAAAGCAAATTCAATAATTACGCTTTCATTGAAAAAATGAATTTATTGAATCCGCTTTTTCATTAAACGTGGAATCTTCATCCACGCTTTCTTTTATTGTTTACATGTAAAGTATGAAAACGAATTTACTAACTTCATTTTTTTAGTAAAAACGTATCTGTTAACTTCGCTGTTAAAATTGTTTTAAAACTGCCGTATCTTGATAAAATTNTAAAAACGAATTTACTAACTTCAATTTTTTAGTAAAAACATATCTGTTAACTTCGCTGTTAAAATTGTTTTAAAACTGCCGTATCTTGATAAAATTGTTTAAAAAAAAGGGCAATTTGGTAAATAACTCAACATAACACCATCTCCTGTCAATAACCGGACAGCATAAAGAAGTCAAGAGGCCATTCAATAGAATTCAGGGCTACAATCCAAAAACCAGTCAATTTCATTTGCTGTTGTTTTCACACCTAAAATCTCTGTATATATGACCAATCTATGTCCTCTATAGATACATCCAGTAAGTTCACAAAAGGACTCGAAAAAAATAAACACACACACACACACCCTATTCTCGTATTCCCGTGCTAATCCCTAAATAACTGTCAGCTAAGAAAGAATAGAACTTAACAACTGAGATTGCCACCTGTAAGTAACCTTTTATATGTACAGCCTATGAAGCTCTAATCTTCTTCATCTTTACATAGGAAAGCCGAAGTTCTGATACCCTAGGGACCCTTCTTGATTGGGGAAATTGCTTGGAGGAGGTACGGGCGTGCTATCCACTGTGGTGGTGATGTCATGGATGCTTGACCTCTTCCTCTCTTTCTTCACTGAGTTTTGACGAAGGTAATACTTTTGGGCATGGCTAGCTACTTGTGTTGGTGTTCTTGTTACGACCACATTTCTTGATATGCTCCTCCAGTCACCCTTGCCATATCTGTCGAGCCCAATTAGAAACAACCTGTGACAAGACCAAATCAAAGTAGGTCAATATCACGAAAACATTATAACCAAACTGTTTCAAACTAAGGTATGTTTGTAGCCCAAGAAATAGCAGTGGCATAATGGAACATATGCCAGCATTAGGGAATAATATTAGATTTTCCAACCATCCTGGTAGTACAAGGAAAATGTTGTGCTAAAAATAGACAGAACGATGATTTTTTTTTTTTTAACTATTTAATGATTCTGGGTAGCATCACACATAATATTACCGCTATGCTGGCAGAAGTTCATCTCAATAAATTCAAACCCATTAATGGCACTATGAAACATCATACCATGCACTAAAGGTCACAACCTAGGTTTGTNCGCTATGCTGGCAGAAGTTCATCTCCATAAATTCAAACCCATTAATGGCACTATGAAACATCATACCATGCACTAAAGGTCACAACCTAGGTTTGTTGTTAATAATTTATGAAGCGGACTATCAGACCATGCTGTCAGCTTATTTGAAGGACATCTTGAAAATAAGCTTCACCTTAGGCAATTAGGTTGTTAATTTATTCCATTCCTACTAAAAAGAGTGCCTCCTAACATAACTAATAGAAGTAAATTGTTTCAGTCTATAAGTACGAGTGTGCAAAACTAGAGTTCTCAAATTTGTTTATTCATTTAGAGTTCTAAATCTGACATTCAAATAAAAAAAAAACACACACACACAAGATGTTAACCAGGCTGACCAATGAACATGAAACACATATCCACGAACAAAATAAATTCAAGAAAATAACAATAACATTAAATTCATTTGCCCTGTTTGGTTTGCTGAGAGGATATAAGAGCTTAATGGCATGTTTGGTTCATGTGGAGCCATTTCTGGAACCCATTTCTCTCTTGAAACCAAAATAGCAAGAGTTTCTTTCGCAAAAGCTAAACATGTTCTAAAGCCGCCCTAGCCTATTAGGTTTCTCAGGAGCAAGCTACGGCAAAATGATCCCCTAACTCGAGGTCAAAACTCCAAAACTAGATTCCAAACCTTCCACGAGGAATATCTCAATTCTGTTTTCAATTTGTTAGTCCCCAGTAAACCGAAAAAAAGTCCTATACGCGGAACTAAGCATGCCCTTGAATTCTATTTGGCATGCTAAGGTAAACAAAACCCCAAATCTCGGACCTTCATTTCCTTTTACAATTCCCCAGTTTTCTCCACAGCCAAATCTCAGTTCTGTTTGCAATTTCTTTGTCCCCATTAAACAAAAATTTCCTTGCCTTCGAACTAAACATACCCCTGAAATTTCTTTTGCATTATTTAGACCCAAATCTTAAATCAAATGTCACATAGTGTGTATCATATCAGTTAAGATATTAACTCTTCAAAAGCCCAGAACAACAGGCCAAATCTCGGAGCTTCATTTCCCTTTCCAGTTCCTCTGTTTTCTCAACAGCCAAACAGAGTATAAACCAAACAGGGATAATGTAAAACCAAAAACATTTCTCTCATTAGTTTTAGAGCCAACAACAAACGGTTGAATTCATTATCCAAATTAAAGTTCAACAACAAAAAAGCCTATAAATATAACCCAAAATCCAAACATCCTAGATAACATACCTTCCAATCAAATTTCAACCCATTTCAACAAATTAGCCAATAATAATAATACTAATAGAAAAGCAAATCTAAGAAAATCTCAATATTTAATTAGTTTTTCTTTTCTTTCAGCAAATTTTCTATTTTTAACCCAAGAAACTAAAAAACTCCAACTTCAAAAGTGTGCAGCATAAAAACACCCAAACAAATAAAACACTTCCTGAAAGCACAACTGTTTCTCAAAAACAAATTTCATATAAATAAAATACAAGTACCTGTGCTCTTCTTCAGTCCAAGGAGTTCCTTTCTTCCTCTCCACCTCCCCTTTCACCTTTCCCGACGACCCAAACGATATCTGACTCGCGCCGGACTCGGTCTCCCACTCAAAGCAATCGTCCGAGTAACTCGGCAGCTCGATCCGGCCCGAGTCAATCTCCAAAACATCATGAACCAAAGCCTCGTAGTGGGCCATCACGTCCTCGGCAGATTTTCCCGGAACTCGTTCCGCGATCTTTTGCCACCGGTCGGCGATTTCCTCTGGGTACATCACCAGAGCCTGCTCAAAGAGCTTGTCCTCGACTCGTGTCCACGTGGACGGCTGGGATTGCGTCGAACTGCCGATCATCCACCGATCGTTGTAATTCCCGTCGTGAAACATCATCGTAAAAGAAGCCCTTTTATTGAAATCAGTTTAAGTTTGCTTGGTTTCTCTCTCTGATCGTTTTCTTGAGGTTTGCCGGTTTGGTGAGGGATTTAAGGAGGTTTTTGGAATGACCTATATATATAGATGCAGCTAGAAAGAGAGAGAGAGTAGTTGTAACTGTGCGGAAATCGAGAGAGAAAGAGAGATGAGTTGTAAATGTGCGGGAATCTAGAGAGAGAGAGAGAGTTGTAAGTTTGTGGGAGTTTTGAAAGATTTTGTATTTGGTGGGATCGGAGGACAATTACACACGTTTTTGTTTTTATTGGAACTTTGGGGGTTTGAATAAAAAAGAAGTACACCGGGACTATTCCACTTTTTTTTTTTTTCTCATACTCTAGTTTGACCGCGGTACATTGTACAGTGATCAATTCTAAATTGTACTTTTAAATGTAATTTTTTTTTATTATATGAGTTTATTGATTAAACGGAATGGAATACATAATAATCATATTTTTCATACTATTTTCTTAATAATTAATATCAAAAATTAAAAATTGCCTTCAAACAATTTATTTTGAAGACAATCATAGAGATTTTGAGAACCGGATGTTATAATAATAACAATGTAGCTTAAATACTAATTGTTTTCTAATATTATGAGTATTTAATACCAAATACGTCGCTAATATTTGATTAGCTCTACACAACTAAACTATCAGAAGGAACATGAAAATTAGTCAATAGGTGATCAATTTCTTGACATATTTAAGCTACCAAACGTAAAATAAATCAAAACGAATGAGCTAAATAAAGTTGTGTTTATTGGAACAAGTGGTTTAAGAGAAAAATGAAAAAAAATTCAGTATTTACATTTAGGATCATATTGTAGTATTTATTATTTATAATAACAAAATAATAACTTTTGAGAATAGACAAAAAATTAAAAGAAGAAATGAAGAATTCACCGAGTGTTAAACATGCTATTTTTGTTGCATAGGGAAAATGAAAATTCAATTGTAACACTTTGGACTAGTGAACACTGGACTATATCGGTCTGTAGAATTTGTGAACTGTGCCCTAAATCGATCCAATTATTTAAACAAACCGTTTGTGCAGTCCAACCAAATATGAATCATAAAATCAAAAATCGATGAAGCAGATAATTTATTAAAATCGGGTGGGTCAATTGTTACTTTTTTAAAAAAAATCTTATTTTTGAGACAATTTTAGCCCTAAATCATCGACACAGACATCTGTTTTCTCTTCTCCTCCAGACGCACAGCCACTCGAAGTCTCGATCGAACTCCGCCTATCAATCTCTCCTTCTCTTTCTTTCTACTGGAGTTATGTTAATCTGTAAGTCCTATGGTCTCTCCTCTCTCTCTCTCTCTCTCTCTCTCNTAAGTGCCGGTAAAGGCTCAGGTTGAATTGCATGTGTGATTCTCATCTTATAATATGGCATGACATAAAGGATACATCATTGAATTGCATATTCTTGAATGAATGATTGTTGTTTGTTGAATTTGCATGTGAACATTTGATATGCATCTAGGTTTGGGAGTAGTCTCTTTAGGAGATATCCTATTTAGCGTGGCTCACCTTTTATGAGGACAACATTTTAGGTGTGGAACATACGGCAATGGACGGCTCTCACTAGGGCTCTCATTGATGACGAAAATCGACTTGTGGCTTTTAAACCATTTTTTGTGAAACTTTTATGTAATTTGGTTTTGGGCATGTAATCATATACAAATTGTTGTAATCGAACTCATATGGACTATGTTGAATGTAAAGTTTCATGATACATGTTTTCGAATTGATATGGGATGAGTTGAAATTGATTGAAAATCGAAAATGGATGAAATTGACAAAACTGGGCACACCTACCGGTAGAACTTTTGGTTCTTCTACCGGTAGATGTGGTGCAGTAGGCAGCTTTTACCAGTAGGTTTAGCCGATAGAACCTTTCCAGTAGGGTTCTCCTACAGGTAGAACGTCGTTGTTCCTACCGGTAGAAAAATTACAGTGGACTATATATACCGGTAGAATAGAGACTTCTTCTACCGATAGGTTTTCTTTAAACTTCAGAATTTTTAAATGTTTCACTAAGTTTTCGGGCATCGATTCCTTGTACTCAAAGAGATTATATGAGATATTAATGACTTTAAATTGATTTATAAAGGACCACGGATTAGTAAATGATAAAGTGTATGAAGATTACACGTGTGAGTTATGATCCTGGTTAAGGAGATGCTATTGACATGATGTTGGGTTGTACGACAATCACGGGTTTTGCCGCTGGTTGATGGGTGATCAATAGTTAATAAAGAACCCTTGATTTTAGGGGCGTCACAAATATATAGTCCTGAAAGATCAATGTTTCGATGGACATATCAATTCACTGAGAAAGAACTGTATTGTTTTTCTATTACCCATGAATTGAAAATCCTTTGAATCAATGAATTTTTTGATGAAATGAAAAAAATCCTACAATTGCTGATCAACCATGTGTTGTGATGAATACACATATCTGCCAACTACTGAGCATATCAATAAAAATAATGTGCTAAAGTGACAACCAACTGGTCTTTGAAAAGGCTGAAGTAGAAAAAATGATTGCTCGTGTCTACTTAATGTCACGTGCTGAAGTGACTATTTCCTGAATGGGTTTCAGCAGACCATGTGTTGAAGTGACTAAACATTAAATGAGTTTCAGTAGACAATATGTTGTAGTGTCTAAACCCTAAATGGGTTTCAGCATACCATGTGTTGAAGTGACAACTCATAGTTGATAAGGCTACATAATGAAATGACCTTACACGAGTCTGATGCATGCCTAAACCCTAAATGGTCTCACATGACTACACTGTCTTACTTTGGACTTATGTGACCTGTTCAACATACTAGGGGTTTGGACACTACTATTTAAACACCTTATTTGTGATTGATATGACAAACACAAAATTATGTCTGCATCAAATTTCTCTATGAAATTTAACAATTGCAGATGTGAACTGATTTAGTTGTTACAAAAATGAAACGATGATTATAAGACTGGGAGATTTTTCGATCCAAAAGAGTATAACACATGAGTACGATGAGAGTGGGCTTTTTGTGCTAAAGAATTGGACGAACTATTCACACAACTAAGAGAACTTGGTGTACCAGTGCCTTGTAGAAGATCACTAACAATGCAATGCCGGAATAGAGAGGACTACGAATCAACAGTAAAACATGTTTGAAGAGAAAATAATAGAATGCTGGTGCGTAGGTATCACTATTATATGCTCCAACAAGCAAAAGACTAGGTCAGAACTACATATGGACGAAAGTTGATACCAGTTAAGTAAAATAATGTATTGTCTAATGCACAATACCTGTCAGATGATTATATGTCTGATGAATCTTAATTTTTATCCTTCATACCAAACATAAAATAGAGAAGGGAGGACTTTTCACTTAAAGAATATAAAGTGAATTACTCTTATTTTTTATATTTTAATTTTTTTTATCCAAACTATCAAACACATTATTAAATAAAATATTATGAATCACATAACATAATTAAAAACTCAATAATGCAAGTAGATGATTGATCATTTAAACACAAAAAAAATTATTCTGATTGCTATGTATATTTATCAAGAGCCAAACATGTATGATCTCTCCATTCTAAATCGATCCTAAAATTATCAAGATAAATAACAAGTGACCATAAAAACTCTAAATTTGACCAAATAAAGTTGTAACTCTAACGTTATAATGTTTGTCGGTTAGTTTATCATAAAAATTGTAAATTGATCTAAAAATATTATAACTCAAATTTTAAAAATTGTAGTAATACTAAAAATGTTATAAATTTTTTTTATTATAAATAAACTCAAAATTTTATATCTTGACCCATAAAACCTAACCCAATTTGTTTTTTTTTAACCTTAGTCTTCTCCACTCGTCATGATATGAAATGCATATCAAAAATATTTTACATTAATTATGTGGACAAAATGTTATAAAATTGCATTGTTGTCCACGTTTGGAGCATGCTCATGGGTGGAGACGTAAGTAGGTTGACTAGAAGCTGTGAACCGTGGGTTGTCGGCAACCGCCTGCACGAGGCAGTCTTGTCGTTTAGTAACAGGCTGAGATGATCAGCTGTCATTCATGAATAGCCAACTCAACCAATCTAGGAAGCTTCCTTCTTTACTTCTCTGATCTACGTGCCAGTCCAACTCACCTGTACTTGTCTTCAACCACTCCAACCATGTTTTGGATAAGATCGTTTTGCCACGTCATGAGAGTTATGTTATTATAATATAATAATATTAGCTTGGGGGGCAAAGGAGGTATGATGGCCTTGGATCCTCCGGAAACCCGAATCAATAACCAGAAAAGCAGACAGTACCGGAGCCAGCATTTAACTATAAGGTGGATAAAAAAAATATAACTAAATTTTTTTATTAATTAATAAAAACTTTTAAAAATTTAGACATATTTTTAAATACAAAAATAAAAAATATTTTAGTAATCAAAAATTAATTACTAGTAAAAAATGTATCTAACATTGTTTAATCTTATTAAGATATGGAACAAAAAAAAAAAGGACACAATACTTGTGTCACAGTGCATTCAACTCAATCACCTATTCAAATAAACATTAATGTCATATTATATACCAAAAATTATNTGGAACAAAAAAAAAAAAGAACACAATACTTATGTCACAGTGCATTCAACTCAATCACCTATTCAAATAAACATTAATGTCATATTATATACCAAAAATTATCTACTTAAGTATTTAATTTTGAAGTAATTTCCTTTTTGATGTACATGATCAAAAAGTCCACCAATAATCATCATATATTCTATTAAAATCATATTTTTAATAATATCGAAAATAATCCCCAAACTAAACAAGCAACACTGATTGGAATGACCATTAAAATTCAACAAATAAATCATGTATTTTTTAACTTGTTAAAACATAAAAATATCAGATGTAATAATATTTTTCAAAG